AAAAAAAAAAAGGGGGGGGGGGGTGAATTAGGCAACCGCATAGGGCGCCAAAATGAGGGGTTGCCCAACTTGTCAATCATCCCTCCATAGAAATATAATCATATACCCATCATCGCAGGGAGGGGGAAGAGAGGCGGCCGCCTTGGTAGCACTTTTTGAAATTACTATAACTATTGGGGGGGTGGGGGGGGGGGTTCCGGTGGACAGCAACGGCGAGAGAGGTTATTCAAAGATTAACATGAGGAATTACTGAGAGTACTGTAATACATCACTAGAACTCTATACAAAATATGGTCTAAATTCTACACATTTTTTTTGGTCTTAAAACAGGACCAGTTTAGAGAAATGTGTGGATACAAAAGAACATTAGCCAGGACTAAAAAAATAATCCGGGTAAACTAAGGCGGTAATCATAGGGCGGCATGTGTCAGTGACTGTGTTCTTTTGATGACTCCATGATAACAAGGTCAGTCACTACAGGTCTACCACTACAGGTCTATCACGCTGTCGCCTAAACTAGGTCACCCAGTCACCCACACTAGGTCAACCAGTCACCCACTCTAGGTCACCCACTCTCGGTCAACCAGTCACCCACTCTAGGTCACCCAGTCACCCACTCTAGGTCACCCAGTCACCCACTCTAGGTCACCCAGTCACCCACTCTAGGTCACCCAGTCACCCACTCTAGGTCACCCAGTCACCCACTCTAGGTCACCCAGTCACCCACTCTAGTGACTGTGTTCTTTTGATGACTCCATGATAACAAGGTCAGTCACTACAGGTCTACCACTACAGGTCTATCACGCTGTCGCCTAAACTAGGTCACCCAGTCACCCACACTAGGTCAACCAGTCACCCACGCTAGGTCACCCACTCTACGACACCCAGTCACCCACTCTCGGTCACCCAGTCACCCACTCTAGGTCACCCAGTCACCCACTCTCGGTCACCCAGTCACCCACTCTAGGTCACCCAGTCACCCACTCTAGGTCACCCAGTCACCCACTCTAGGTCACCCAGTCACCCACTCTAGGTCACCCATTCTAGTTTATCATGAATTTCCTTGGCAGCTGGCATCATCACAAACTCACTGCATCACGGGGTTGTTTTTTTTCCCCCCTCAAAACCATACGGTTATATTTCATATCATGACAAGATAAGTTCATGATCTCCCATTCCATGACAAGACAAGTTAATGGCCTCACATTCCATGACAATGTAAGTTTAACACATGACAATTAAATGCACTGACCAGTATTTCGCCTCTGAGCTATGGCGTTGTGCTTGAGCTCCTGTGCCTGCAAGACAAGATGAAAAAGAGGACTGTTATCTTAAAGTTAAGAGAAGGGGAATATACAACGTTATCTTAATGCTTGCAAAAGGTGAATAGAGAACTGTTATCTTAAATTTGTTGACAAGGTGCATCGAGCATTGTCCAGCTCAACTTGTTGACAAGGTGCATCGAGCATTGCCTATAGTTCAACTTGTTGACAAGGTGCATCGAGCATTGCCTATAGTTCAACTTGTTGACAAGGTGCATCGAGCATTGCCTATAGTTCAACTTGTTGACAAGGTGCATCGAGCATAGTTCAACTTGTTGACAAGGTGCATCGAGCATTGCCTATAGTTCAACTTGTTGACAAGGTGCATCGAGCATTGCCTATAGTTCAACTTGTTGACAAATGTCTGGATATTAAATGTCAATGACTTAGGGTCAGTGTCCGGTTTCACTGACTGTAACCAATGTCATGAACAGAACTGTCATTTCATATAATCCAGAGATTTTTCTCATTTTGTTTGAGAATTGAGTGCATGGCCGACTAACATAATGGCCTTATTGTATTGGAGAGTGGGGTGCATGGCCCACTAGCAGATGATCTTCTTTGTTGTAGCGTGGAATGTGTGGTCCATTAGCGTGATGACCTTCTGTGTTGGAGAGTGGACAGCATGGCCCACTAGCACGATGCCCTTCTGTGTTCTAGAGTGGAATGTGTGGCCCATTAGCATGTTGACCTTACTGTGTTAGAGCAGGGGTCACCAAACTAAGACCCGCGAGGCCAGGTCATCCGGCCCGTCGACGATACTTGAACTTGAGACTGGAACACGAGACGAGGTGATACAATTTAAATTATAATATTATGTTTAGAATACTAGGAGGTCTTCACACGTGCGGAGACCTTTTGGCCCCTATGCGCCTTCATTCACCATTTTAAACTTTTGTATCTAGATTTGCTTGTTTATAGCAGACCTGTTTACCCCCGAACTCGTAAAATCGTACATTATTGTCTCAAATTAGTACTAATACAGTATCTTAGTATTTAAATAAACATACAGTGTATAAAATGAATACAATAACTACTGGCATCGCAGTCAGGGGTGGACTGGGGAGTTCAAGTGGCCCGCCAGGGGTGAACTGGGGAGTTCAAGCGGCCCGGGGAACAAAACAAAAAGCGGCCCTATCTTCATGACTTTCATTTTTATTATATCACTGGTCCTAGCGGCCCATCGGGAATCTTCCCGGTGTCCCGACGGCCCAGTCCACCCCCCTGATCGCATTGCCGAGTGGGATCGCGTCAAAAAAGTTAACTAATAAAAGTATATGACTGACGTTTATATTGCAATCTGTATAGTCACTTTGTTTTGCAGACGTGTGTTTGCTATTGATTGTTAATTTATATTAAGTGGACGCACAGATCACATTATCACAGTCCATCACTGGACATAATAAAGTTACTGGTGAAATTTAACGTGGATATAAATCGAACTCAGATCAGCATAAAACAAGACGTACTTCCAATAATTAACAAATAATGACATCATTTAACAAATCTGCCAAGTACCTTTAGTTGATGTTTATAGGAAAAGCTGGTTTTAAAAAAAATAATAAGAATCAATAATCCATTAAGCTTATTCCCCCTAATATATTATAGTCTGATAACTATCATGAACTGGGTGGTAAATGGGTGAAAGAGCAATGTTGGAAACATACGGGGACATTTAAAAATCACGGTCACCACGGTTGGAACCAACAGCCCTTCGGCAAGTTCAGTTGTTCAGAACAGAAGCAATCGGGAGAACGTAGTGCTACAGACACGTGAGAAAGCTGGGAACTTGCTGTGGTATTCTCTGCATGGCACTGGATGAGTCTACTGATCTCTCACAACGTCTCGTGTTTATTTGTGATGTCAATTTGGACTTTTAGATAACGGAACAGTTGGCATCCGTTTGCAGCATGCAAGGTACAACTTATGTCAGTGAGCAAAGATTTTTAAAAAAAATAAAGTATGTGAAGTGAACACTTCGAACGAAAGGGATTTGTGAACATTTGAAAACAATTCCTTTGATTGGAAGCAGCAATTCCAAACTAAACAATGATGACATCTTGAAAGCCAAACGTCAGCTTCACAAATCTCACTACCCCTTTTCGCTGCTTAGTTTGTGAGATTCGAATATATGCGCACTGGGTCTGATGTAACTATCTTTTTGCTAACGTCGCCTTCATGGCTAACTTTTTTAGTAAGTTAATATGTTGGTTGTCTTTGCTTTTTGTACATTGCACGCCACTCACCCATGATTAACATGGCATAATAAACTTAGCTTTTCGTCTTTTTCCCCCCAGAGTTTTCGTTCTGACTTGCAAGTATTGTACAGAATGATTATCCGGCCCGCCGTGAACAAAGTTTGGTGACCCCAGTGTTAGAGAGTGGAGTGCGTAGCTCACTAAAGTGGTGACCTTATTGTTTTGACCTTAAGGTGATCCACTGCCAGACACCTCAGTTGCAAAAGGGGGCTGGTTCCAGGAAACGGGTGATTCCGGGAAACGGCTGAGTTCATTCAGATCAAAACCGAATACAGGTTGAAGGTTTGATTATTTAGTTAGGTCTGAAGCCCGCTGACTTAGGACACGCTACAGAAATGTATTGATGTTGGCCGATAGTTGAGTCAAAAGACATGAACATCTTCATGGAGTGAACTCTCCACAAATCTTGACTACGTGCTACCTGAGATTGTCTGAAACGTCTTGTACTTACTCTTAGCATCTAGGTAAGTGGTTCTCCCCTTTCCTAATGCTGCGACCCCTTAATACAGTTCCTCTTGTTGTGGCGACCCCCAACCACTAAATGTTTTTCGATACTACTTCTTAACTGAGGAGTACATGTGGTTACCGAAGGTCTTATGCTACTCCTGGGAAAGTGTGGTTCGACCCTCCCCCAAAAGGGGTCGCGACCCACAGGTGAGAACCGCTGATCTAGATTAAAATGTTAGGCTATATCTTACCCGCTGGTTGGTACTGGACAATCTCCTCCTAGAGATGCGACCGTTGCTCTTGCAATTCCCGCCGGTTTGTTTAAGTTTATCCGAGTCCTTGCTTCTGGTCTTGTGCTTGATGTCCGAGTTTTTATCTTTTGCTCTGGACTGACTGGATTGTAATGACGTGGTCGGCACACGGGTAGTGCTCTCTTCTGATTGGTCACGGAGCTGCTCCCGCTGAAATAAAATAAGAATAATTAATTTACTTAAGATATATTGTTCCTTCATAGCTTGAGTCTAATGAAATGGTACCCGGGTGCGAATGGCGGCGCTGCGTGTCTGGGTCCATGCTGTTCGGATGTCATTTGTGGTAGTTTATTTTAGTTAAACTGAAGAATTAAGTTTACAAACATATAGCCCATTCAATAATCTTTCATTTGCTACCACATTTGGTCTTACAAACCAACAATAGAATTTTTAACAATTTTTTAATCCCAACCTCTCACTTCTGGAACCCGGGAACGAATAGCCGCAGCGATCTCAACCTCTCACTTCTGGAACCCGGTACGAATAGCCCCTTCGTTAATTTAATATTTTAGGGACTATATCTTTTATGAGCGGAAAAACGAAAAAAAAATGACAGCCATATTGGGAGTGTAGAATATACATCTTTAGAACAGGAGGCAGTGCATAACTTGGGTCTGATGTACTTTGAACTACCGCTACAAGTGAGATATTCTATGTAATATGTAATATGCAATCATCTACTTTATTAAACAGAATATCTCACACGTATTTTAAAAAGTAATTATATTATTTAATGGAATAGATATCAGCTCAGTGGTCCAAAAAACAACAACAATTTCCTCTTTTAGAATGCCCATATTCTTATTCGAATTACCAAAACAAAACAGAGAACTGAACTGCCAAAGACAAGCATCAGGGGATAGTGGCAAGACTATACTCACTTCAAACAAATTGTAATGGCAGACACTCACCCTCAAAGCTCTTTCCTCCCTGTCCCTCACTTTGGCCTCAGCGTCCGACTTTGACGTGTCCTTGCCGCCCCTGTTGGCACAGTCGTATTCGTAATCTTCATCGTCGTCGTCACCGATAAACAGAGGTCCGTCGTCCTCCTCATTCTCGTCGTCATCAAACACGTACTGGATCCTCTTCTTGACCACCTTCTTGGGCTTGACGATGGTGTTCTTCTCCCTGACGATCTTATGCTTGTACTTGATGCGATTCTCCAGGGACTTCTTAACACTGGAGTGACTGAGTTTCTCCATGGCTTTTATCCCGTCAATGCCCGTCGTCTTGAGCACAGTGTACTCCAGATTAGGGGATATCAGCTCGAGCTCCTTCATTTTGGTTGGACTGGACACTCGGAGTTTGGCCAGTTTTTTTTTCTTGGAACTCATCTCTTTCTTACTGGATGTGGCGAGAATTTCATGAGGGTCTTTAGCTCGCAAGGCCGGACTAATTTTGTCGAGGTCTTCTGGTTTCATTCTCGGATCTTCTTCCTTGACATCTGGCGGCATGTCTGGTGACTGCCTTGAAGGACTTTGGTTTGAACCAGTGGCTCCCTGTTGCTGGGCCAGAAATTGCTCTTCAGTTTTGGCCAACTTAGACTTCTCATCATCAACTCTGGAGTGAACGAATGGAGCTACATTGGCGATGGGGATGTTTTTCACATGCCCCCAAGGGCCGAGGGTGTGGCCTGCCAATGAATTCCGCCTGATGACCTCTGCCCTATGAAATGCCATGTTCCCCGGGGTCGTCTTCTGAGTGTCGTCCATGGGTGGCTGAAGAGGTTGTTGCTGCTGCTCAGGTAGAGCAGTGCCGAGGCTACATCGCCTCACAACTATGGCGTTTCCCGACATCTCGTCTTTGTTTGTCGACATGTCTTTGGCAGTGGGCCCCATGCCCCCATTACCGCTGCTACCACCAAAGCTGTTGTTGTTTGCCACATCATGACTGTTGTTGTTATTGTTTTTGTATGCTTCTTTGACAAGAGGGTTATCAGGGACTGCTGAACCAGCCACTGCAGAAGACATGGAGGAACCCGGGTGAGAGTTAGACTGGGGGTGGGGGAAAGTACGGGGTACTGAATCAAGTGTTGGGGGGTCATCATTGTTGGCCTGAGCTTGGACCCCCTGCTCCTCACCAACCGCTTCCCCCTCGTCATCCTGTGGACTGAGTATGGGCATTTTTGGTGAGGTTGGGATGGGACTACAAGTACTGCTTGCTAGAATTCTGCTTTTGCACTCGGAGGATATGCCCCCTGCTTCATGCTTGTTGGGAGTACTGCTAAAGATCCTTTTGAGAGATTCATCTTTGTTGACAGCATTGAGGATCATGTGTTTCTTTGACCAGGCCTTGTGTGGTGCTGCAGACTTTAAAGATGACGAAGCGGCGGGGGAAGGAGTTGATGTCGTCAAAGGACTTGTGGACTGCGGGATACTAACCGATAATGGAACTGCAAACTGGGCAGAAGATTGAGCCACAGTTACCTCCTTGCAAGTCATGTTTTCTAGAGATGGCTTTTGGGAAAGAACTGCATCTGGCAGGATTCCATCTATAGGGACTGTGGGGCTTTTCTCATCTGCTTTCTTCTCCCCTTTCAAGCTAGTCCCAGAACTCACACGGTCACTTACTGTCTTGACAGATTCAGGCTTGTACAAGGCTTCTGGGTTATTTTTTACCAACCTTTCCGGCAGGCTGGATGAGCTCTCTTTCCTGGCATTTTCAGATTGCTTGTCAGTGTGGTGTGCACCAGATACATTCGGGTAACTCACTCGACGGGACAGGGCTCGCCTGCTCTCTTCTCGCACACCCCCTGCTGGCAATGGACCGGCAGCCTGAGGTAAACCGTTTTTTACTAAATCAGTTGACTTTCCCGCGCGATCAGACTTCTGATTGTGATATTTTAATCCATCGACGTCTTTTGGATTTGCAGGCATCATGCTTGGAGATGTTTTTACATATCCCTGTGTTATCTTGGCTGCACGATAGTCTGCAGGGGTGCCATGAAAGGGCTGTGATTGAGCATAACCAGATTTCACTGCTTGCCTTTGGTGGGCTCCCCATTTCTGGGAAGGCGAAATGGTATTATGGGTGGAGATGGTCGCTTGCTTGTAGGCATCCAGCTCAGCTTGTTTTCTCTGCTGCTGTGTTGGCTGTTTCTGGTAATAGCGTTCCACCATGGCTTCATTATGCTTGCTGGAATACTGAGATCCCTGATAATGCTGTTGAGACATGAGTTGGGCTTGCTGCTTGGAATATACCTGCTGCTGCTGCTGTTGTTGCTGCTGAAGCAGCTGCTCTTTAGCATACTGACCTTGACCTTGCTGAGGCAGGGAGTATGGGGACAGCTGGGAAGTTTGATCTTTCTGTGGCTGCTGGCGCTGCTGCATGTAAAGCTGCTGATGGTGGAGGTGTTGCGGCAGCATGGTTTGCAGAAATCCCCTGCTCTGCCCAAGGCTGGACGCCCTGGATGCCTGTAGAGGATCACTGGAATCTTTCATTCCAAGCTCAATGATTTCTTGTTGTTCACTCATTTTCTGATGATGTTGGTGGACTTGTTGATTGTGAGCATCAATACACTGCTGTTGATGCATCTGCTGTTGCTGTTGTTGCTGCTGCTGCTTCATTAAAGAATGTTGCAGAGCTGCTTGGTGTTGTTGATGATGAGGTTGTTGTTGCTGTTGCTGAGGAGGTATATCATAATGCTGCTGAGGGTGTCGTACTACTACCACTTCATTGGTGCTCATCATTTCATTGTTCTTTGTGCTTACTGTGTCTTTGTACATGCGTTTTGTGTCTGTATGGACACTTGGGCTGTGCTCGCTTCCCATTCTCTGCAACTTCATTTGATAAGCCTGTTCCTCTTTCACCTTCTGGAGCTGGGTGGTTAAGGGAACCATGGTGGTGTTGTTGCCACCAGCATGTTTGACCATATCAGGTACCATTGAGGCACTTCCAAGCTTTCCATGAGGAGTCACCATTGTAAACTTGTGCACATGGGGACTCTGTGGTGTACGGCGGTCATTGCTGGACCTGCTCTCAACACTTGCACGTCCATCAACAGTGCCACGGGTCTCCACACTTAGTCTCCCATCGCTGGTCATCCTGCTGTCGGCGCTAATACGTCCATCAGAGATATAGCCATACTTGGCCTGTCTGGAGAGTCCTGGAGCTGGAGATGCATGTATGGAATAGGAAGGAGATGCCAGCGGACGTTGCTCATAGGTCTCTGTTCCCCTCGGAGATGGAGAAGATATCCATATCGGATTAAGAGCGTTATCAGCTCCGCTCGTAAGTCCTTTTTGAGAAGGCATCACAGATCGAGAAATACCGGGATCTTGCTTTGGTCTCTTAACAGCAGAAACCATGCTTTGATAATCTGAGCTGTCTGTACCTTCGGCGTGCCTCTTCTTTGTTTTGACAGTAAGATCCAGGGGACTATCACCAGCCTTGGAGTTGCCGTGAGCTAGTTTGGTCAGATCTAACGCAGACTGCCCACTGACTCCTTTCTCCTGCTGTCCATGAACTTGGCGCTCTTCTGTATTCATTAGTGGGATGCTGGACTGCATCTGAGAACTTCTACCAATGGACGATGGCCGTGTGGGCATGTAGTCCCTCTGTGGAACAGGGAAGCGATCAGAAGCTAATGATCTCTGATCAGGATACGTGGGGGTTGACTTTGGCGTTGTATCGTACATTATTCGAGGTTGGCCAGTACTAATAGAGCCCTGCATTCGGGGCGGGCCCACGTCCCGAAGACCAGGGTGATTTGCTTCAAGATCTCCCAGGTGAGACATCACACTTTTTGTTGGTCCGCTCATCGAGATGTCATCAGTGTGATACCCCGAACGAGGCTGCTTGGAGGACACATGTTGGTACCCACTGTCACGCCAACTCATTTCCTCACCTTGGATGCTTGGTCGTATGACCGACTTTTGAAGCTGGGCAGACGGGTTGTGCTCGTGGGAAAATGTTCCGATTCTGTCTGGGTGAGACTGGCTGCTGGAATAGGACGAGTGACTGCCAGGTTGTTGGTTAGGCGAATGGGGTACCAAAGAAGCCGGGGCCTGCCCGGTTCTGTGAGCCAGCTCGGCACCAATGGGATATGTCATGGCTTTGGCAAGACTGGGGTGCTGCTCATGACTTTGGGTTTTATTGTAAAGAGTTTGAGAACCACTGATTCCCATACCAACATACGAAGATGACTTCCTCATGTGATCTTCATGTCTGCGAGGGTCTAACATGGGTGAATCCACCTGGTGTTTCAGATGGTGACTAGACATTTCTAAGCTCTGCTTTGTAATACTCCTGGGCAATGGAGCGCCGCTATACCGAGGGTCCCGTATATCGGCTCTGTGGTCCCTCATTAGTTCTCTATGCTGCGGAGACAGCTGCTCAACGGGGTGTAGGCTCAAACCTTGCTTAGCGTCGAGAATGGGGGCCCCTTTCACCATCTCAGTCATATAATGGCCAGGCGGAAGCAGTTTCTGGTGCTCCCCGTGATAAGACCTGCTTTGTTTACCAGTCATGTAAAGGGACTGATCTTGCTGGGAGTGTAAGGTGTTACCAGCAGGAACAAGACAATCCGCACCCCTGCTGGCTTTCTGTCCAGGGTATGAGATGCCCAGTGGAGGACCAGGCATGTTCTGAGTGGGTCCTCCGGGCTTGGTGGCTGGGCCCCCGCCGTGAGGTGAAATAACTTGGCCGGTGTTGAACGAACACCCTAAACCAGATTCCATGCCGTCGTACAAAACTTTTAAAGGATCCGACATGAGGGCAGGCATAACAGGCTGCTGCTGGGACCTTGAGAGCCTTCCAGAGGATGGCATCTGGTGCTGGACACTGCGAGAAGGCTCCACGTGGAGCAATGCATCCCGCTGTACACGACCTTCCGGTATCATACTCCGTTTGTCTTGTTGCATCAAGGATCTCGGGTCTGAGAAATTCCTCGAGTCTGACCTGTGGATCTGATGTTGCTGTGACAGCTGGTGGTGCTGTGAGAGCTGGTGGTGCTGTGACAGTTGATGGTGCTGCAGCTCGGGCATTAATCTCGGGGCCTCTTTTGGGGGAAGTGAATCCAAGGACCTGGGATCGTGGGGAGGAACCCTGCCGACATCTAACGCTTTCATTTCCCGACTTTGATGTTCGTCGTGACCACCACGTCGGAGGTCGTGGTTTAATCCGACGGCACTTCTGGGGTCGACGGCAACGCCCCTGGAATCGATGGCGACAGCTCTGGAGTTAAGGGCGGGGGATCTGGGATCGTGCACCCCGGGTAACGCCTTCGGCTGATGCTGTCTGCTCATGTAATGATGTAGACTGTCGGACGTCACGGTGGTGTGGTGGGTAAATCCAGGTGGTCCGCTGAGAGACATCGTCATCTCAACCCCGACCCCGGGACCATGCCGACCCCCATCTTTCAGTTGTTCCATGTTGACCGGGGGGGGGGGCGCAAGTCAAACTGACGACTAGGGAGGACTTGTTACAATCATGGTGCTTCTGTTTGGACGTCCTCTGCCTGCGAAAGAAACAAATGAAAAGTTAAATGGTGGTGTGGTGGGTAAATCCAGGTGGTCCGGCGAGAGACGTCGTCCTCTCAACCCCGGCCCCGGGACCAGGCCGCCCCCCATCTTTAAGTTGTTCCGGGTTGACCGGGGGGGGGGGGCGCAAGTCAAACTGACGACTAGGGAGGACTTGGTACAATCATGGTGCTTCTGTTTGGACGTCCTCTGCCTGCGAAAGAAACAAATGAAAAGTTAAAGTTTTAGTACCGGTATATAGCATATCGGTGATGCATCTTACAGATTTATTTATACATCACTTTTTAAAATGTATTTTTATCCTTATACTATCTGCATCAATCTTGACTATCATGTTATGATACCATTATATTTTTTAACAGTATATATCTCTATACGATGCATGCGGTTTCTTACAAAGGTTTATTAGGATGCATGACGTCAAAGAGCGTATATCTACATATATATATATATATATCCTTAAAGACGCTACATAATTCCATATATAATAGTCTTTAAAAATGTGTATTTTGTTTTTCCTGGTTACAAGAAAAAACACCAAGGAAATAGGTTGTAATACCTTATTCTTTGAAGTTACTAAAAGTAATACTGATGCTTTAAGAAATCCCCCTAAAAATGTGCTTCTGGTAAAAAAAAAAAGGCTGTTGGACTGGAAGGAAAAAAAAGATTGGGGGGGGGGGGAATAAGGGGGGGCGAGAGGTGGTGGGGTTGCAGTGCGCGTAAGATTCTCTTTGTCTCATGGTCTGCACACAACACGCTATACAGGTAGACGGCAGATCAACGTAAACAGCTTCTAACACCTGGTAACAACAGTTTACACGGTCAGAGGTGACGACGTGGGAACTCGCAAGCTGTTGGGGCCAAACTTAGACACCTCATTACGACACAAGACAATGTGGAGTCAGGGCTAAACTTAGACAACTCATTACGACACAAGACAAGGTGGAGTCAGGGCTAAACTTAGACAACTCATTACGACACAAGACAAGGTGGAGTCAGGGCTAAACTTAGACAGCTCATTACGACACAAGACATGGTGGAGTCAGGGCCAAACTTAGACAACTCATTACGACACAAGACAAGGTGGAGTCAGGCCTAAACTTAGACAGCTCATTACGACACAAGACAAGATGGAGTCAGGGCTAAACTTAGACAACTCATTACGTCACGGCAAGACGAGGCAATGTGGAGTCAGGACTATTAGTGATGAAAGAGATGTCGCCAAGATTAGAGTATAGATGTGGGATTGTGAAGGAATGGGGTTGTCAAATGTGACAGGATAACACTCTCTAATGTGAAGGGATGGATTGTTAAATGTGACCGGATGAGATTGTAAAACGCGAAGTGATGGGACTACCGAATGTGACAGAATGAGATTGTAAAATATGACAGAATGGGATTGTCAAATTTAACATGATGGCCTTGTAAAAATGACAGGATGAGATTGCTGAATGTGAAGGGATGGGATTGTCAATGTGACAGGATAAGACTGTCAAATGTAATTTCCTGTGATTTTCAGGTGAGGATAATGGGATTGTCAGATCTGAATAGATAAGACTTTCAGAATTGAATAGAGGTGATTGTTAAATGTGAATAGATAGGATCGTCAGATGTTATTGGCATATGACAATCCTTTTAAATGAGAACAGAAGTGACTATAAATTGGGATCCCTTGTGAATATATAATAAGAATAGATATGACTTTACAATTTTATTGCCATGTGAGTATAAAATGTTTTTGGAACACAAATGTGAATGGATGATTCAATTGTTATTAATTTGGTTCAAAGCATGTGTTCGATAGGTCAACATTCTATTGTGTAATCCATTAAAGCCTGTGTTGGATAGGCCAACATTCTGTAGAGTTATCCATTAAAGTATGTGTTCGATAGGCCAACATTCTGTTGCGTAATCCATAGGCCAACATTCTGTTTTGTAATCCATTAAAGCATGTGTCGATAGGCCAACATTATGTTGTGCAATCCATTAAAGCCTGTGTCCGATAGGCCAACATTCTGTTGTGTAATCCATGAAAGTATGTGCTCGATAGGCCAACATTCTGTTTTGTAATCCATTGAAGCATGTGTTCGATAGGCCAACATCCTGTAGTGTTATCCATTATGTGCTCGATAGGCCAACATTCCGTTGTGTAATCCATTCCAGGACTGTCACACGACAATGTCCAATCCAGATTATACAAGCCATTAACTGTAAGAACCCTGTTAACTTTCTGTGTTGGTTTTATTAAGTAATTGTGATGAACCTAACGCCCAGATCTGCGTTTTTGTTGTCTGTGTCTGAGTTTGTTGTTTGTTTGTTTGTTTGTTTAATGGTTTGCAAGTATTATCCTGTGTTCAAATGATAACTATCAACAAAATGGAGAAATGTGCACTGTGTGTGTGTGCTTGTGTCGGTGACCACTGGCATTCATATCCATGCAGTGGCAGACCTTGACTAAATGCCGCCTTGGGCGACCCTAAGACACACACAGCGTTTACAAAATGTTCTATATATCCATCCAACGCTTACTGCGCAGATCTCACTGGAACTAACTGAACGGCGTCTTCTGAGAGGAAGACTCCGACCAAGAGTGTCAAGAATTAGCGATTCTGGAGCTATGTGAGGCACCAAAAGGGGTGGCCATTTGACATATGACCCAAAAGCACAGGCTGACATACTCAATCAGCAGTTTCAGTCGGTCTTTGATGACGGTAGAGAGTGCTCATTCCTGACCAAGACCACCGACACAAGACCACCGACACAAGACCACCGACACAAGACCACCGACACACGACCACCGACACAGGGCCACCGAGAAACTGACATCCCAAGCTAGACTGTTCGCTGATAACACGGTGATGTACAGGAAGATCGCCAACAGGATCTTAATCGGTTAGCTGAGTGGGAGATGAGCTGGGACATGGAATTTCATCCTGCCAAGTCAAGTGCCAGACACTGTCAGTCTCTAGAACTCCTCTACACTACCAATACGAACTGCATGGCAATATACTTGAGCCAGTTTCCTCCGTAAAGTGCCTGGGTGTTACCGTCCGCTGGGACGAGCATATTAACAAAGTGTGCAACCAGGCAAATAAGACCCTGGGGTTCTTAAGGCGTAATCTAGATCGGAAACTCCAGTGTGAAAGAAAGAGCCTATAAAGCCTTTGTCTGGCCGCTTTTAGACTACGCATCTTCAGTCTGGTACCCATTCACCCAGAAGAGCATCGACATGTTGGAGGCTGTCCAGCGACGGGCAGCACGCTTTGTCCTGAACCACTACAGGAATACCTCTAGTGTTGACAGCATGCTGGAAACACTGGGCTGTTCACTATTGGAGGAACGACGACGACTATCCAGGCTCTCCACAATGTACAAGATAAATAATGGGCTGGTCCAATGCTCCAGCTTTAAACAGAAACTCGTCCTTCTCCCCCTTAGACACCGACGAGGCCATGACATGCAGTTCCGGCTCATACCAGCAAGAAGCCAGTATAGGAACTGCTCATTCCTGACCAAGACAATCAGGGACTGGAACAAGCTTCCAAAAGGAACAGTTGAGGCGACAACACTTGGCATATTTGAGTCCATTGCCTCAGGCCTTCCAACCCCCAGTGCATGATACCATCACTAAGTAGCCCTTGCAACCAGTGAAATATGCTCATCAGCAACAGGCACAGAAACATTGCAAATCCCTTCAACATGCATAGGAGCCAAAATGATTTTTTGAAAAAAACTGATTGTGGGCCCTTAATATATATATATATATATATCTATCTTGTGATTATGAAATGAGAATCGACATGACTATAAATTTGGATAAGCTTTTCAACCCCTAAAGTGCCGCCCCTTCACACTTCCCTAGATACGCCACTGCTCCCATGAAATCCGAAAGTTGGGAAAGAATTTCGTTGAAAATATTCAAACGGACGAAATTCAGTGAAGACGGAATTGATGAAATATTTACTTGAACCAACTCAAAGCCGGCAGTCATAAGGCCTTATGTTGCGTGTCTCGTACAAATATAGAAAATCGTGTTATTTTTAAACATTCCCAGACAATGTTATATTTTTATTTTGCTAATAGTTTACATTAAAATTCTTTATCTTCACCCCCCACCCCACACCCCTTTGCAAATCTAATTCATTTCACCTGTCAGACTCGCAGTGAAGATATTGTAAGTTCACACGCTATTGAATGTGGTCCACCTGTGACCTAAATACGTGCAGGTAAAGCACGTCGATCAAAGTTATTTTGTTTAACCAAAAAAAAAAATTAAAAAAATAGAAAAACGTAGGTGTAGTGTTTAAACAAAGGTTCGTACAACCGAATCTACACACAGCCGAATCTTCATTCAACCGAATCTTCAAACAACCGAATCTTCATTCAACCGAATCTACACACAACCGAATCTACACACAACCGAATCTTCTTTCAACCGAATCTTCAAACAACCGAATCTACACACAACCGAATCTACACACAACCGAATCTTCATTCAACCGAATCTTCAAACAACCGAATCTACATACAACCGAATCTACACACAACCGAATCTACACACAACCGAATCTACACACAACCGAATCTTCATTCAACCGAATCTTCAAACAACCAAGAATTCACAAACTACCAAACATTCATGACAATCATACCCCCCCCCCCGGTTAGTAATAGACCAGGGGTTCATAAATTGACAGTCATACACACAACCGAATCTTCATTCAACCGAATCTTCAAACAACCAAGAATTCACAAACTACCAAACATTCATGACAATCATACCCCCCCCCCCGGTTAGTTATAGAGCAGGGGTTCATAAATTGACAGTCATGAGC